CTTGAGAGCTTTAAGACGTGTGGACTTCAACTCCCAGAATTCCTCCTCCAGTCATGACAGAGCAGGAATTCTGGGAGTTGAAGTCCACAAGTCTGAAACTGGCCAAGTTGGAAGACCCCTGGGCTAATTCCTGCAATTGTTCTTCATATGTTTTAGCTTCCAGACCTCTAATTACCTTTGTTGCTTGTCTCTCCACGCTCTTTCAAGATGCTGAGACTCTAAAAATGTGCCCTGTGGGTACCCAGCTTAAAATGACAGGCGATGGGCAACGGAACAGGGCACATGTAATGGAACAAATGGGCTTGGCTTCCATTTGCCCCTTTTCCTTATCGCTCATTAAGAGCTCTTCTCCTGAACGCATGGTGAAGCTGAGCCACCAGTTCAAAAGGAACCAGCCTGGCTAGAATTCCTGTTGGCTCAGCAACAGAATGATGTGATTTTCATCAGAGCGATACAGCCGCCGGCCCTGCAGAGAATTGCGGTGTGTGTGTGTTATCTTAAATTGCGTTCTTGTGCCTGCAGGAAAAGCTGGCCTTTGGGGCCTACCTGTTGTGGATGCCATATTCTGCGGGGTCCGGGGTGCTCTCTGAGCCCTTTGGTTTTCCTGCAGACGTTTCATGACCCAACTATGTAACATCGTCAGTGCTAGAAAGGTGTGGGGTTGGTGCCCTCTCAACCTGTTTGTTGTCTTGCAGATGTTTCATGACCCAACTAGGTTACATCATCAGTACAAAAAGGGAGTCGGGTTTGGGGTGACGAAGAGGAGGAGGAGGAGGAGGAAAATGACTGAGGGGTCCTTGGCGCTCTCGGAGCTTGGTGGTTTTCTTGCATATGTTTCATAACCCAACTAGGTAACATCATCAGTGCTAGAAGGAAGTGGAGTTTGTGGACAGGAGGAGAAGGAGGAGGATTGTGGGTTCCTTGGTGCCCTCTGAGGTTGGTAATTTTCTTATAGGTATTTCATGACCCAACTTGATAACATCATCAGTGCTAGGAGTGGGGATATGACACCAGCTATCTCCAGTCTACAACCCTGTCCTTTCAGAAGCTCCAAGGAGGCTCCACACCCATTTGCAACACTCAGGTGACCCTGAGCACACAGACAAACCTCCAAGTGGCCTCAACGACCCTCTAAAAAAGGATACAAATGACCAGCTGTCCGCAAGGAGTATCAATCCTTCCGTTCTTTACCATCCACTCAGAGCTGAAGAAGCTTCTGGGATGAGAAGCGAAATGTCTTCAAAGAAAAAAAACACTAGAAAATCCAGTCGCCTCTTGGAAAAAGCAATGTTGGGAGAACCACGACCTGGATGGCTGAGAATCTCTACACCAGGAGTCTTCCAACTTGACAGCTTTAAGACTTGTGGACTTCGACTCCCAGAATTCCTCCTCCAGTCCTGTTAGCTCCAGGAATTCTGGGAGTTGAAGTCCACAAGATTTAAACTTGCCAAGTTGGAAGACCCTTGTGATAGATAGATGACGGATGGATGGATGGATGGATGAGAAGACGATAGATAAGACAGACAGGCAGATGATAGAATTCAGGTGTCTTCAAACCTGGCAGCTTTAAGATTTGTGGACTTCAACTCCCAGAATTCCTCCTCCAGTCACGTTAGCTCAGGAATTCTGGGAGTCGAAATCCACAAGTCTTAAAGTAGCCAAGTTGGAAGACCCTTGGGCTAGAGACATGATAAACTTGGGGATTGTCCTTGAGAACAAAGATCTTAATCTTCCTTCCAATCTCCCTTTTCATAATGCCCCCCCCCCCTGCTATCCATTTTATTTCCTGCAATGGGAACAATTAATCCGTGGAACGACTTGCCTCCAGAAGTTGCGGGTGTTTCAACACTGGAGGTTGTTTTGAAGAAGAGACTGGGACAGTCACTTGTCCGGAATGGGCACAGCGTCTCCTGCTTGATCAGGGGGTGGACTAAAAGACCTCCAAAGCCCCTTGCAATTCTCTTATTTGATGTTCTAACATTTTAGGACTCTCCCTCCATCTCTCTCTCTCTCTCTCTCTCTCTCTCTCTCCCTCCCTCCCTCCGGCTCCAGGCCTCGCGGGCGATTTCTTACATCCCACAAAAAGGAAGAGCGAGAAGGGGAAAAAAAGAAAAAGAAAAACAAAGACTCCGATCTCAAATATAACATGTGTTTTCTTTCTTTTCTTTTCGTCTTTTTCCAGGCCTCTGAAGGAGAGGGGTCAGAAGGGGACAAAACAGCCCCAATGCAGAAAACAAGTGACAATCCGGAGAAAATTACAAACTTTGAACATCATTCCAGAAGTACGATTTTGTGGGGAGGGGAGAAAAAAAAAAACCAAAACTGGGAAGCCCGTGATAGAAATTACAAAGGGGGAGGAAAAAAGAAAAAAAAAAAAGCAACGAGACCAAACCTTTGGTAACTTTTCTAGGAATTAAAAAGACTTCTTTGGAAGGTCTTGGGCTAAAGGTTCCCATCCTCCTGGGCTAATGGTGGACGATGGGAATCGAAACCTCCTCTCCCACCAACCCACTGGAAAGGCACCAAGCTGTGAAAAGCTGGCCAGAGCCAATCGAATACCCCACCCCCAAACACCCCCCCCCACTCTCCAACGCCAGCAGCAATCCCGAGCGATGGGAATTAAAAGGCCAGAACCAACCCAATCACCCCACCCACCCGAAAAAATCATGTCAGCGATCCATGTAAACAAGGGGAAGAAAAATAATAACGCAAAATAGCAGTCTGTAAGAATTAAAAAAATAAACAAAATTGGGGGCGGGGGGTGAAGAGAGAAAATAACGAACGAGGTTCGGTTACAGTACGAGTTAACACTGATTGCACAAAAATCCTCCCCGTCTCTGGAAAGGACAGGCCTCCAGATATCCAGGGACACGGTATTGATATGCAAAATATATACAGAAAATTTAGATCCCCGCTATGTATATTTATGTACAAAGGGAAGGTAGTACTTGATACCCGGGCCAAGAGGAGGGAGGATCAAAGTCATAATGCACGTCGGAGGAGAGACTACTGCTGGGGGGGAAGCCAGCAGGCCAAGCCACACTGTGGTCGACCGGAAAGCAATCTCTCCAAAACAGTCTCGGGTTTCTTTGGCTGGGTTTGGGCGCTACGCCGGAACGCGCTTCCGCAACCCTCGCCGTGGGCGAAGACGACCCCGATGGAACGGGAGGCCGAAAACCCCCAACGGGGAGGACGCCTCGGTGTCTCCAGCAAACTCCTTGTTTGGAGGGAGGGGATGGGGGAATGGGACAACGGGGTACGTCTCATCCGGAAGATGACGGGCGTTCAAGGACCACAAATGGCTGGACAACGGAGCTCCCGAAATTTGCATAGAATTCACGTCCCAACGAAAAAGGGATCCGGAGCGTAATCGAGTGATCCGTCTATAAAAGAGGGGAGAGGTCTCCTTGCTTGTCCCTCTTGTGTCGTTTTTCCCCCCCTCCCTCCTCACACCCTGAAACGGGGAGGGAGTGGGGGGGACACAACTTGGTCGGTCGATGGGGGTCAGGACTTTCGGTTGGAGTTTATAGTGCAGTACTAAAAGAAGGTCGCAGGTTTCTGCCCCGCGGTTGCAGAAACAAGCCAACGTCCAAACGAGCCGGTCGGTCGGTCGGTCGCACGGGCGGCTCCCTTATCCGTTCTGGAAGGCCAAAACAAGGGACGAAACGCCGCCAGGATGAAGATCCTTGTGTGGTTAGTGTTCGGCATCCATGGCGTCTAAATATTTCGCTTCAATGATGCTGGGGAGCAGGTTGTACCTGAGCGAGAAGAAGAGAAGAAACGGCACGTTGTTAAAGACGTTTTTTTTTTTTTTTGCCAGACGACTTGAGGAAACTTTTAATCCCTGTAGATAGTCCTCGATTTATGATCGTAATCAATGAGCTCGGTCATTTTAAGTGGGCCATCATGATGGATGTGGTTTTAGGATCTTTTTTTTTTTTTTGGCAGCGGTTGTAAAACGAACGCTACGGTCATTAAGTGAAGCCACTGAAGTAAAACCTGGCTTCAGGTCATAAAAGGTTGTAAATTGTGATAATGTGAGTGTGGGATCGTGCCACAAAGAGTTGTAAGTGGGGCTGACTCAGCAGTGGCATTCTACTGGTTCGGCACGGTTCAGCTGAACCGGTAGCTTTGAGGATCATTTGTGAGCGAACCGGCTGGCTCCGACGATCAGCTGTTGGCCCTCCCACCCGCCCCGGCTCTACTGATCTTTATTTCCTGCTTTTCAACCTCAGCCGCTTTGCGCGGCACAGCTGATTAACGCGCGGGAGCTGTTTTACACACAGGGCTTGCAGCAGAAGGTGAGTTGCAAACGCGGCGTGCACGCACGCAAAAGCACACACTCACATTGGACTGGTAGGAAAACTTTTTCAAACCCACCACTGGGCTGACTGCAGAATGTCTGAAATGTGAACATGTGACCTGGACGGGAGTGTTGTGGTTCACCGGCAGTTGGTGTGGACGGCGGCGGAATCAGACAGTGGGGAAGAATGGGGTCTGGGAGTCTGGAGAGGACTCAGTCGAGGGTCCTGCATCTGATTCAGGGATGGGGCCAGGACCATCTGGGAGTGGGGTGCTGCCTCCGGAGGCTTTGGAGTCTGGCAGCAGCGAGGAAGAGGAACAAGGGGAGCCTGTTCCCAGTACGCGTGTGCCCAGAGCTGCTAGAAGGCGAGAGCAGCCGAGACAAAAGGGACAACTCGGGAGTAAGGCTGGGAGATGATGGCTCCTCCCCAAAGGCATAAAAGTCAGGCCAAGATGATGAAACCTTTGCAGGAAGCAAAGTCATTCGATCGGTTCAGATTCATCCTTGAAGCTCTTTGGGCTTCAGTTGGCTTTTTTTTGTACTTTGGTTGGTTTTTTTCCTAGTTCATTTGATACTTCTGGTTTTGGCAGCACTTCACAGAAAAGAAAGGTGGGTGCTGATCTCGAGGGACTGTTTGAGATTCATTACCAGCTGGGAATGGCAACAATTCCCAGCGTTGCAATAAACCAAGTCTTGTTTTTAAAATAAGCGTGTGCGTACAGTCTAGGAAGCCTTGGTCAGAACAAGAGAAGTCATAGGAACTTCAAACCCAGATCGTAAGTAGCATAACTCTGTGAACAGACGCTAAGAGACGGGTCATTAAGTGAGGTCTCCCTGTATTTCCACCCTATCCTGTTGAAAGCAATCTCCGCAAAGGAAGCCACAGCCAAGATCTCACCTGATCGGGATCATTCCAATCATAATGAGCGGGAAAATCATCTTCATGTAGGGCAGAGGAGACATCCCAAAGCTGCAGAGGATCAGAAGCTGGACGACCTGCAGGCCGGTGAAATAATGGATCTTCCTTTGGGGCACTCGGCGGATGTAGTGCGTTGGAGGGTAGGCCGTCTGGAAGGAAGGAAAGAATCAGCACCCAACAGATACAGGTAGTATCTGAGTCATGGTGGTGCAGGGATTAGAATGGAGTAAAGGTAAAGGTTCCCCTGGCGCATGCGTGCTAGTCGTTTCCGGCTTTAGGGGGCAGTGCTCATCTCCATCACAAAGCCAAAGAAGAGCCAGCGCTGTCCGGAGACGTCTCCGTGGTCATGTGGCTGGCATGACTAAATGCCTTCAAAGGCGCACAGAGCGCTGTTCCCTTCCCACCAAAGGGGTCCCTATTTTCCTATTTGCATTTTTTACGTGCTTTCGAACTGCTAGGACCGTGAGGGCAGAGCCATTTGTGCCGGCAGGCAAGCTGCAGGCAAATTTACCTCATTGCGCATGTGCGCGCCTCACAGCCGATTTTTTGGCTGGTTTGAGGCCTCTTCGGCCTCCCAAAGGCTTGAGGAAGGCTTCTGCAGGCTTTGCAGGCAGAAAACTAGGCCTGTTTCATCACTTCCTGTTTTTCTGAAAATACCGGAAGTGATGAAACGGGGCTAGATTTCGGCCTACAAAGCTTGCAGAAGCCTTCCTCAAGCCTTTGGGGGGGCCGAAAAAGGCCTCAAGCCGGCCAAAAATCAGCTGTGAGGCGCAGTGCAGGTAAGGGGATGGCAAGAGGGTGGGTGAGTATTGTGTGTGCATGCGTAGGGGATGTTGGCGGAGGGCACGCATTGCCTTCTGGGTACTGGCATGCAAGCGCGAGCATGCAAGCGCGCACACAATTTTTGGCACAGAAGCCCAACAAGGTAGCCACCACTGTGATAGGACAAAGGAACGGAAGCTCCCTCCGTTACGCGGCCCTCGGGATTCGAACCGCCGAACTGCTGACCTTTCTGATCGACAAGCTCAGTGTCTCAGCCACTGAAGCATCCCTTCAAATGCAATATGGCAGGCTAATATTGCCCACTGCCAGCGGTTCGATCCTGACCGGCTCAAGGTTGACTCAGCCTTCTGTCCTTCCGAGGTCGGTAAAATGGGGACCCAGATGGCTGGGAGGCAATATGCTGACTCTGAAAACTGCTTAGGGAGGGCTGTAAGGCACTGTGAAGTGGGATATAAGCCGAAGTGCTATTCCTACTTTTTCTAATTCTATTATTTCTAATTCTAATTCTATTATTTCTAATTCTAATTCTATTATTTCTAATTCTATTTCTAAGTCTAAGTCTAATTCTATCTCTATTCTAATTCTAATTCTATTATTTCTAAGTTAATTCTATTTCTATTCTATTTCTAATTCTATTATTTCTAATTCTAATTCTATTATTTCTAATTATCATTTCTCATTCTAAATATATTTCTAATTCTAGTCCTAATTCTATTGCCATAGTAGCACAGAGTTTAGAATGCAGTATTGCAGGCTAATTCTGCCCACTGTCGGCAGTTCGATCCTGACCTGCTCCAGGTTGACTCAGCCTTCTGTCCTTCCGAGGTCGGTAAAATGAGGACCCAGATTGTTGGGGGGCAAGAGGCTGACTGTGTAAACCCCTTAGAGAGGTCTGGAAAGCACTGTGAAGTGGCATATAAGTCTAAGTGCTATTGCTAGCCCTCAACTTATTATCACAATTGAGCCCAAATTTTTTGTTGCTAAATGAGAGAGTTCAGTGAGTTTTGCCTCATTTTACAACCTTGCTTTTCCCACAGTTAAGCTAATCCCTGCAGTTGTTCGAATCGCTTGCCAAGCAGCTAAATTTTGAGGGATGCTACAACGGTCATGTAACAAGTGTCAAAAACTGGTCACTTTTTTCAGCGCCGTTGTCACTCCGAATGGTCACTAAACGAACTGTCGTTAAACCGAGGACTAACTCTACCTAGCAAACCCCCTGGGAGGACACTCAAGGCCGCCAGCAGGGGCCTGTGACCAAGGAAGCCAGATCATAGATAGCAATCCGAGGGGACACCACAGCCGCGTTTTCCAAGGTGACGCAACCAACTCGTGAGGATGAGCTCCCTCGGGAAACGGCATCGGCCGTTGCTCTGCAGGGCCCAACCGGCTGCCCCGCCCCGTTGGAAGTTTTACCTGCTCCTTGAGCAAAAGGGCCACCCTCTCGAACAGCTGGTTCCCATCGATGGAGGTCAGGGCGATGTAGAGGAAGAGTCCATACAGGACGGGCTTCGGGATGAGCTGGAGGGGGAAAGGGAGCAGCAGGAGAGAAAGGCCGACCAGGGAGTTGGCCACCAACGTGGTCAGACGCGTCTCCTTCACGCTCACAATCCTAAGACAGGGAGAAAAATCAGGGTCGGTGTTGGACAGGTGGAGTTTGAGGTGGTGTTGATTTATTACTTCTGTCAGGGTTCCAGCGATTGCCCTAATTAAATTGGGAGACTCGAGCCAAGAATCCAAAAGATTTATTAGGATATGTCCGGCATTATCCCAGTTGAAGCCAACTCTGACACACATGATTTACAGTCACCTGTGACCCTGCTGGGTATGTCATCAATCAGATTCCCCAACAAAGAACGTTCACAGGTTAGGCGTCATCAATCACATTTTCCAATGAAGAATTTTTGAGATCCGGTAGCCTAGCTACAATCTTTGTAAGGTAAGCGTGGAATGTACTTCTGAGTTTTTCCCTCCCTGATTACGGCAACTCAACATAGGAATGCTTTACGAGTTGACAATTTCGGTGTTTCTCAATCTCGGCCAGTGGAAGACGGGTGGACTTCAACTCCCAGAATTCTGGGAGTTGAAGTCCACCTGTCTTCCAGTGGCTGAGATTGAGAAACACTTAATAATTTTATTTCTATCTGGGCTTTATTGTTCTTGTGAACAATTCAAGGGGGCGAACGTACCTAACCGCTCCTTCTTCCCCATTTTCCACAGTGCAATCTTGTGAGGTGTGGTTGGGCTGAGAGAGTGTGATTGGACCAAAGTCACCCAGCGGGCTTTTATGCCTAAGGCGGGACTAGAACTTCCGTTCTCCTAGTGATTGGCCCAAAGTCACCCAGATGTCTTTCATGACAAAGGTGGGACCAGAACACCTGGTCTCCTGGTGATTGGCCCAAATTCACCCAGCCAGCTTTCGTTCCTAAGGCAGAACTAGAACTCACCGTCTCCTGGTGATTGACCCAAAATCACCCAGCCAGCTTTCATTC